CATTTCATTTCATTTCATTTCATTTCATTTCATTTCATGTTAACCCAATACCTCTAGGGATGCAATGCCCATTTCAGTTTTGATTTATTAATTGTTGTTATAAGATCACTCATAATTATTTCCTCAAAAAAGGATATGTTTTATTTACTTTTATGTTATGATACAAGTCACATATCCCCATATATTCTGTATACATACGTAACCTCAAATGAAACATGAGTGCTGAACACTTCTCCAGAATATATCTGTGCAGCTCAGTAGAGCTCTGTTTGTCATTCACCTTTTCCTCTTATATGAAACTACTAAATACAAAATAAGACATAGTGGCAGCAGAACTCAGTCTCCAAACACCGAGAGAGAGGGGGAAAAGGTAAAAACACTCTGGAGATACTGAAATATGGACAATGAAATGTGAGAGGTAAGCAACCACACAGTGGGAAGACAAGTGCCATGTCGCTTCTAAAACACGAAAAATCTACTCTTCGTAAAGAAATCAAAGCTAATAAGACTAAAGTATATAAGGAATGTGTGAAAGTAAATTACAGTTCTCTTTATAGTCCCTGTGTGCCCAACATAGCTCAGCTTTGGTGCATCGTTGATGTCTTATTACTCACACTACTACATCAACAGTCATCAAAATGGCTGATGTCGAACATCGTCTTTTCTTACCATGTATGAATTGGAAAGCTAGCGATACATATGGTGTGCTTATGACTATCAAAAAACGCAGTATCATGTTTTTCAAAGTGAAGAAGATACCAAGAGAAGATCGCGGTCAGGAAATGTTAGTCTAGGGATTCCATATGGTACATTCCAACCACATAGCATGATGGAAATAATGCGAGCCCCCTCCCAAATGCCAATTGAGGTTAATCATCCTTCAAGAAATGTTAGTCTCTCTCTCTCTCTCTCTCTCTCTCTCTCTCTCTCTCTCTCTCTCTCTCTCTCTCTCTCTCTCTCTCTCTCTCTCTCTCTCTCTCTCTCCTCTCTCTCTCTCTCTCTCTCTCTCTCTCTCTCTCTCTCTCTCTCTCTCTCTCTCTCTCTCTCTCTCTCTCTCTCTCTCTCTCTCTCTCTCTCTCTCTCTCGCTCTCTCTCTCTCTCTCTCTCTCTCTCTCTCTCTCTCTCTCTCTCTCTCTCTCTCTCTCTCTCTCTCTCTCTGCTCTCTCTCTCTCTCTCTCTCTCTCTCTCTCTCTCTCTCTCTCTCTCTCTCTCTGCTCTCTCTCTCTCTCTCTCTCTCTCTCTCTCTCTCTCTCTCTCTCTCTCTCTCTTCTCTCTCTCTCTCTCTTCTCTCTCTCTCTCTCTCTCTCTCTCTCTCTCTCTCTCTCTCTCTCTCTCTCTCTCTCTCTCTCTCTCTCTCTCTCTCTCTCTCTCTCTCTCTCTCTCTCTCTCTCTCTCTCTCTCTCTCTCTCTCTCTCTCTCTCTCTCTCTCTCTCTCTCTCTCTCTCTCTCTCTCTCTCTCTCTCTCTCTCTCTCTCTCTCTCTCTCTCTCTCTCTCTCTCTCTCTCTCTCTCTCTCTCTCTCTCTCTCTCTCTCTCTCTATTTGTCCATCTATCTATTTTTTAATCTGTTGGATCTGATTGCATCACAGAAATCTTGGTGCCAAAAATACAAGCATTTGATTACATAAGTAGCCAACATCCCAGGCATACGGTGCATAGGCCAGGCACGTGTGACCATCCATGAGCAGTGGCAAGACTTTGTTATTTTGTGTAAACTTTTTAGCTTTTTTGCCATTTTGCAATGTCTATATTTATCTTTTGATTTCCTTTATCCAGATGGTAATACCTTATTTTCCTTGCACAGACTCCATATCATCTCTGAGTGTAGTAAATAACGCAGTGCAAGAAAAAAAAATTAATGGAACATTTGGTTATTTGTGTCGTATATCTTATTTTTTTGTTATTTTCAATTTTCCATATTACCACCTGCATTGTTGGTCACAATGGCCAGGAATACGGTGCGCAGCATGGAAATATTGTCCTCCCTGGAGCTGGGACTCTTCTAGTCACGGCTTACACACATGACATTCCACATATATTTACCAATAGGAATAATGCTAAAACCCCTTTTCTAAGTACCAAATGAGTCAATTTACACTCAAAGAAGTTTGTGTACGTGCAGTGAGTTTTTTCCGTCACCCTGGCCTTTGCTCATGATGGCAAGTTCACATTACCTGGCCCTTGGCCATTTTGACTGATGACAGCATGTTCACGTCACCTGGCCCTTGACCCAGATTTTTCCATGATGGCACTGTAACGTCATCTGGATGTAGGGATCAAGATATAGTATTCACTATTACATATTGCTTTGTTATTGGAATTATTTCCCATGTTCTTTTTCCTGAAGTATTGGGAGGTATTTGTCTGGTGTATCTTGATTGCATTTTTACAGTTATGAATTCTTTTCTATTCAGAGTCAAGCAAATAAACATCTGAATGGTTACTTCTTCGTCAGTTTTGATGTTTGTGTATTTACCCAACAGGGCCAGGACCAGTGATGGACTATTTCAATGCTCCAGGGAAGGAAGAGTTTGAGGAATTTCTAAAAGATGTACACAGTATGAAAGTGGCAGGAGGAGAAAATAGTGTTTGGTCACAGGATGGCCCAAGGTAAGTCTCATTTTGTCACAGCTCATCTGTATATTTCATTTGCCTGATTATTTTTTCTTATTATTGGTTTGCATTTGTGATTTCCTAATGGAAGTCTGATAATGACACTGATAGGTTTGTGAATACTGTCTATCTTAATATTTAGTACATTTGTTGTTATGAGAAAACTTTCATAATTCAGTATATTTGGTATGAAGCTGGTCTACTTACATTGTTTTTAACCAAAAATCTCACTAAATGCTTTATTATAGGAGAAAAATATTCATGATATTTGTTTAACAAAGATCTTGTTGATAAAGACTAAATACAAATGATGATGCCAAATACAGCAGACAGACAATGTGAAGAAGTGAATATGGAAAATGCATTGAAATGGCAGTGTTATCATTGTGAAAGAAAAGCATAAGGGTCTGCACTAACATTATAGTTTCGTTTTGTGAAGTTTGTTTCCATAAAGATGACTCCACAAGTGTTCAGCTACCAAATAGTCAATAAGTAATCTCACCTGATTTCTCCATTCCTTGAAAATATAATGCTATTGATCTTGATACTGTTATGATAATTATAATGTCAATAGAATATTGATAGCAATGAAAAATAGAAGATAACTGAGATAGGTATTCCAATAATTGGCTCCTTGGTGGCAAAGCTGATATGGAGCCATTTGTTTGTAAACTCAATTAATAAGTTAAAATCACAAGGGTCTTAGTACATGCATCCTGGCCGCAGTTGAGCCGCAGTTGATTAATCAAGAAATTTACAGCCATCATTTAAGAACAGCTTCATAAAGTGTTTAACAGCAGTCTGATAATTAGCCATGAAAAGAATTCACAGCACTTTGAAGGTGAATATTGTAGTATTAATCATATGATCATGTTTTCCAGTGTTATCAAGACTTTGAAGAAGATGAAGATTACAGAATCTCGTGTTGCTAAAGTAGTTCCCAGTCGAACTTTCTCAGTCCAGATCCACCCAACATTAGATAAGACTCTGGTCATGATTGGTGGAAAATATGGAGAGCTTGGTAGGTAATTTTATATTAGTCCAAGGAAAGTTTAGATAGGGTAATTTGCTATATTGTACCATAAGGTATTGTAAATATTCTTTTTATTTATACAATTTATATCCAAAAAATTATTTTGTAACAATGATATTAGTTGTCTCAAATTTAGCATAAATTATTATTTGTCAAGGAAAAATTTGGACAACTTTGTGTAATGTAGTTTTGGATTTGAGGACTTTTTTAGCAAGACTATAGGAAAGAAAGGTGAAATGTTAAATAGAAATTTATATCTGAATTTACAGGTTAAACCAAGGAAATAAGAATTTTAGTGAAATATTAACCCCCTGGATCTGGTTTCTTCATTGCAATCACATGGGTCAAAATGCATTCAATAGGCTTATATGAGTGGCTGCTTTGCCGGTTGTGCAACTTGTAGGCTGGGTACACGCAAATACTTGTGGGTGGTGACAAGAGTCTATGCCTCCCCTTTGCATAAGCATTTTTAGCTTTTTTGAAAATGGCATCCTCCCTGGAACTGGCGCCCTTCTAGTCATGGCTCACAGACACTACATTCCACACTTGTTTATAGATGGGAATGATGCAAAAGCCTCTTTCTAATTGCCAAATGATTTTCATCATCCTCCAAGAGGTTTGTACACTTGTTGTGAGTCTTTTCACCTTGGCCTTCAGCGAAAATGTAAGGTCACGTCACCCGGCCCACAATCAGATTTTCCCATGACAGCATGTTCATTTCACCCGCCCCTCAAGCCAAACTTTTTCATAATGTGATGGTCATGTTATCTGGATCAAAGGGTTGAAGTGACACTTAATAGAAAGGTCACCCAGAAAAAACAGATGAGACTGTGTTTATCATGGAAAAGGAAAGCAAGAGTTAATAATCAGTTTATGGGAACCATTAAACATTATGCTTTATTGTATTGATTGATCAGTTTATTTTTCAACTTTTCTTACAAAATTTTTATTTGTTCTTTTCAATTGTTAGGACTTTGGGATGTACATCGTGAAGACTCAAGCAATGGTGCTCACTTCTTCAATCCACACTCACGACCAATCAACTGCCTTACTGTAGATCCTTGGAATTATCAGAATGTTTACACAACAAGTTACGATGGATCTGTAAGGAGAACAGATCTGACATCAGGGATTGTCCAGCAGGTAAAATCCATTATTTCTCTTCCATATTCTTGAATTCAGTGTTTCCAAAGACACCTGAATACTCCATCCTGTAATCATTACTTGATTTGCCTTACAAAAGTTTGATATTCATTGATTTTGTCTTTTGTTTTAGACAGATAACTTTCTGACCTGTTCATTTGTACTCTTTGCACAAGAAAATATATTTTTGATGGCTTTTTCTACATTCCTGTTTTGAATAATGTATTGCAAATTTTCATATTTAGGTTTACAGCTATGTTGAAGAAGAAGCGTATAATGTGTATACTTCATGGCATGCACATAGAGACGAAAATACAATGCTTGTTGGAGGAAGCCTCGGGGATTTGGTTCAGGTCAGTAGTGTGGATTTTGTCTTAGAGAGCAACTTTTTATAAGTCATTGTTTCCATCTTGATATTGACAGATCAGTTCACTTTTGTAACTTATGCTACTTCTTTTTCTGTTTAGTATGACTATGAAAGGACGCTTCAAGTAGAAATTTTCTTCTACCTGTTCTACTTTTACATCTTTGGTTATCTTTAATTTAAGCCTCATTTATACTTGTAGGTTGATGTTCGAGATAGTAACAGCAACCCAGTGGAGTACAAGGTACATAATGGCAAAACAGTCAAATTGGTGACAGTGCATCCAACACAGAATCATTATGTTGCAACATCATCAAGAGATGGGTAAGGAAATGGGATATTTTTGTCATTATATTCTAGGTTCCTTGGTACTGATGATGAATATTAATCTGGTTAACAATTTTTATTCACTGTTATTTTTAGTAATGTCAATTAATCTTTTTTTCTTTTCTTGTTTGTATTCCCTTTTGCTTTAGGGTGAAAAGAAATATAATGTTTAGTTTATATGACCTGTAATATCTGTTGTCAATGCTTGTTAGTACTCTATTGAAGTTTGTATAACAATTTGTTAGTCTCAAATGCACATAACTATTTCCATTGCCACTGTAGGGTTATTAATATCTCTGCTATACACCTTGATCCAACAACTTGATCATCTTCAGTCAGCATGGGTCCTTGATGCATAGCTTTAGGAGAAAACTCCCACTTAAATTGGTCATCACAAGGTTTTGAATTATCATAGGTGACTGTGTACTATTCTTCCTTTTTGGTTGGGAATCTTTGAACTTTTAACATTATTCCATTTTTGAAGATAGTTTTGTTTGTACAGGGACATATGCATTTATTTAATTGTCTATTTTTCAGATGTGTGTCGCTATGGGATTTGAGGAAAGTCAAGAAGAATACACCAATTAATGAATGTCCTCATGGACGTAATGTGTCTGGCTTGGAGTTCTCACCAGTCACAGGTATAAAATAATTTTTACTTTTCAGTTTTATTTGTATGTATGCTATGGACTTTTTCATATCTTAACTTATCAAGGTAGTGAATTTATTTTTATATAATTCTAAACATTATTTCCCATACAGTCACTCTGACTAGGAGTCTAGATACATCTCCATGGGATATTATTATGTTTACCAAGAATCTGTAAGGTTTGATCACTAAACATTTCCTAAATACTTCACCCTTCCAACCACTATCTCAATTGCCTACCTATCATCGTGTCAAGTGCCTACTCCCATTTGTATTTTCTTAGGCCTCACAAAGTAATACATTTGTAGGATTAAAGGAAATTTAGTGAGTCATTACAATGTAAAATCATATCAAAACACTTGGAGTATGCAGAAAACACTGAGTGTCATATGAAAACATTGCTTTTGTAAAAGAGAGCCTTGATATAAAGTACCTTGTTAACATCAGTTAAATCAAAGCCATTAATTGTTTTTCTCTTCTCAGGAAATACCCTTATTTCAACGTGCTCAGACAATTACCTGAGATTCATATCATGTGACTTGAGTAATTTGAAAGGTAATGATATGTTTTATTTTCTGAAAAGTGATATATACAACACACATGATATACTGTTCCTGATTTTTTTTAAGAAGATGTCCTTCATATAATTTGTCCTGAAAAACATTCACTCTATCTCATCAAGCACCTTGAAAGACAGAAATAACATAAGTAATATTAGTAAATAGATACTAATGACAGCCTAACCTGATTCTCTTCAGTGCAAAAGAAAATTCACCACAATAATCAGACAGGAAGATGGCTGACTACCTTTAAGGCTCGCTTCCTACCAGGGAGAGAGGACTTAGTAGTTGTGGGGTCCATGCTGCAGCCAAGAAGGGTGAGTGCTATTCTGCTTATATTTATCAACTGCTATGGATTCCAGTATTATTTGGAGAGTGGGACAACATACCGGTCTGATTTGAAGTAATTTTCAGTTTCAATTAGCTTTTCTCTTCTTCTTCTTCTGTCTTTCTTCTTCGTCTTCTTCTTCTTCTTCTTCTTCTTCTTCTTTCTCTTCTTCTTCTTCTTCTTTCTTCTTCTTTTCTTCTTCTTCTTCTTCTTCTTCTTCTTCTTTTCTTCTTCTTCTTCTTCTTCTTCTTCTTCTTCTTCTTTTTCTTCTTCTTCTTCTTCTTCTTCTTCTTCTTCTTCTTCTTCTTCTTCTTCTTCTTTTCTTCTTCTTCTTCTTCTTCTTCTTCTTCTTCTTCTTCTTCTTCTTCTTCTTCTTCTTTTCTTCTTCTTCTTCTTCTTCTTCTTCTTCTTCTTCTTCTTCTTCTTCTTCTTCTTCTTCTTCTTCTTCTTCTTCTTCTTCTTCTTCTTCTTCTTCTTCTTCTTCTTCTTCTTCTTCTTCTTCTTCTTCTTCTTTCTTCTTCTTCTTCTTCTTCTTCTTCTTCTTCTTCTTCTTCTTCTTCTTCTTCTTCTTCTTCTTCTTCTTCTTCTTCTTCTTGCCTGAAAAATACAAGGCTTCATGTGATATATTCCTTTTCTGTAGATTGGATATCTCTGTGATAAGTAGGTAATAGATGCTAAGGCTTAACTTATGAGGATTTGATTTTGGGGGCCTTGATTTGTGTAAAAGTGCACCATACTGAGAATTGGTAGTGTGAGGAGAACTCCTGCAACTGCAGAGGAGGGCAGAGCAAGTGACTGATTTCTTGGGAGTGGACAAAGTTAGTAAATGTAAATATCTGCTGATGACAGCTTACAGACATCCCTTGAAATCAAGGCAGAAAATTTTTCAGCTGTAATTTTTACCATAATTTCTGTCATTTCCCATGATATTTTGATACTGTTCACAGACACATAAAATTATTGTAGCACTGGAGCCATTTAATGGCATTTTTGTTCTTATTTTCCAGATTGAAGTGTGGTCGAATAACGGTCAGTTGGCACATGAATTCCAAGGTGAAGATTTTGCATCTGTTGCAAGTATAAATGCATTCCATCCTACACAAGCTATTCTGGCAGGATGTAATTCCTCGGGAAGAGTACATGTCTTCATGTAGAACAAACTGAGTAAAAGCAGTGTGATTACTTCGGGACTAGGTATAACCATGGATTATCTCCAAAGCTGTAAACTTGGTGTGTGCCATAAATACATTCCTGTTAGATACTCTATGTATTGAACTTTACTAATAAGAGGCAGAATTTTCATATCAGTGACAATAATTAGTTCTCAGTCAGTATTATTGTTAGTCACAAAGAAAAAGACATTTAAATGTATATAAAAGGTGCTCAAGGTGCTTTTCTTTTTCTTTTTCTTCTCCAGTGACAGTACTAAGTTCAGAGAAAATGTAAATATTGATTATAGATATTGAAAAAATCATTGAAAATCTTATGTTACACCTATTATCTAAAATAAGTGAAATGCAGCTCATGAGTAGTATGTTAAATTTTAGGCAAAAGATTCTGCTTACAATAGCAAACATGTTATCTAAGATTTTGAAACTGCTGTCATCTTTCTAAAAGAAAAAAGATTTTGGGGGGTTATTCTGCCAAGCAAAGTGTGTTTGGTCACTTAACATGTACTTGATAAACAGTACAAATAATTAATTTTGTAAACTAAGAAAGATTTATAGATATGCATAGGTTAAACATGAGTTATTAATAGTGTATTTTCAAGTTGAAGTTTCACCATTCATTTACTAAAGCATGCTTTATATGATATTGTACAAGACAGATTTTGAAACATTAAGATAAACCATAATCATCTTATACAACCAAAGATGAAATCGCCAATGGCAATGAAAAAGAAGGTAAAACATTTACCCATATAATTCTCAGACTAATTGTTGATTATAGTATGGTTATATGAACAGTAAAATAGTAACAAAAATTCTAGCTGACCCAGACCAGTTCCTATTTGCAACACATGGCACAGTACTATAAACAATTCACTCTGCTAACACTTCTTTTTCTGAGGGCTTAGGGCAAATGTCATATATGTATGCATATATTGATATCAGTATTTGGCTGTATTTTGTCATTATTTGAAGCAGTTGATGTTTTAATAAGTAAACCTGTGTTGCTTCTTACACTGGCTTGTATAAGAGTGGTTATTAAAGAATTTTTAGGAAATAAGCCCACAGCAATAAGTGCCAGACTTCAAAAAAACTGTGCATTGAGTATAATTGAATGCCAATATTTTATCTGAATGCAAAATTCTGGAAATGGTTTTATTCAGCTGTTGTATGCACATGCAGACTATATACATATGTTTTCAGTTACCAATTGTGTATGCCTGGCATGAAGCATGCAAATATTCTAAAGTTTTATTTGTCCTTTATGTGGTTGAAAGTATAACCCTAAAGGGAAGGAAACTTCTTTTTTTTCAAATGCTATTTTGTACATAGATTGATAAATTGAATATTTGATTTTTATTTTATACATTCTTAAAAAGAGCATGTAGAATAGATAATGTGTCACAAGTTCAGCAGATTGTTTTATATTTTTGTATTTAATGTTGAATTTTAATATGCCATACATATATGGTTTGTACTCAACATCCAGTAAATTGCTTTTTAAGAAAATAAACTTTATTATGACTTCAGATTTCTTTATCCTTTGCTGCAATTCAAATAGCAACATTTTATGTAAATGCATATTATGTCCTCTTTCTCTAGGAGCTTTCTCTCTCTTTTTCTATATCATTCTCTCTCACTCTTTCTTTATATATATATATATATATATATATATATATATATATATATATATATATATATATATATATATATATATATATATTTATATTTATATATATATTTATACATATCTGTATAGTGTTTTATATATATACATATATATATCTATATGATAGTCCTGTGGGAGATGCAATCGCCATCATCAGTGCTATAACAAACAAAAAAAACAAGGAAATCAATTCAAATAGAAACGGTATACAAAAGTAATACAAAAAACATTGGAACAAAAACATACTAGAAAAACAACACCAAAAGACCGTAAAACAAGCTAGTGAGTATGTAACAGGCACTAACCAAGATATGGGTTATTTTGATAGTTCACATGGTAAACAGCGTGGTTACAGTGGAAGAGTTTCATTGTTTCAATGTGGAGTGACGGCTATGATGAGGTCAAATCTGTTAGATGGGAAGTCAAGATTTTGAAGTCAGTATTGCTAAAAGGATGATTGTGAAGGTGAGAATGCGCTCTAATTGCGAAGAAGGTAGTTTTACTCAGCAGTAGGCTTGTCCTGATGGACTTGTCTTTGTGTTCGAGAATACGGCGCCGAAACCATCGTGAAGTTGATCCCACGTACCTAGCCTGACAGCTAGGACAAGTAAACAGGTAAACCACATTCGAACATAGTTCAGAATTACACTCCTTATTCTTTTAAGTAATTACCAATAGTATTATTATTGTAAAAAAATAAAAATCCGAAAGCTGATTTGAGGATAGCATTGCTTTAGAATTTTGTTTGATGATTTTCTGAGATCAAAACTAAGAGCACCCATATATGGTAGCTTTATATATTTCATGTCCTTGTTTACTGTGGTTGATGCAGGTTTGGGGTTGAATTTCTGACAGAAATTTGCGTAGAGCTTAATAAAATAGGTAAGATGTGTACCCATTTGTAGTGAAATATTCTTTTAAGAATGAAGCTTCAAGATGAAAACTAGCCCAAGTTGAGCCAATGTTATAAGTCGGTTGATAAGTGCTGTAAGGCTGATTTAACTTTTAAGTGTGAGGGATGTAGCTGAGGTAATGAAGACCAAGGCCAGTGAATGTGGATTTCATGTGGGTGCTGGTGAAGAAGCAATTCTTACGAAAAGTTATGGAAAAATGTTAGTTTGTTATTTCGTTCAGTTTCACATGTGAGTTTGATATCGGGACGTGAATTTAAGTATGAGAGGAAAGGATTAATGCGAGAGGAGCCGTTAAAAAGTAAGAAGTATCATCCATGGAACGGCGATATAAAATAAGTTTGAAATCAGCATGACAGTTATTCATCCATGTTTGTTCATGGTGGCAAAGGAATGTATTGGCATAACGAGGGTCAAGTGGTGATCCCTTTGCTACACTCTCTACCTGCGTGTAAATAGAGCCACTGAAGGTAAACACTGAATTGTGAGCAGCTATATCCAATAATTCCCTGTGTGTGGTCTTGCTCAGGCCATACAAGTTTAAGAGTGAGGAGGCGGTTTTGTGAATAATAATGTTAGTGGTTTCATTGAGAGGAACATTTGTGAATAACGACTCTATGTCAAAACTGGCCATTGTTACAGGCCGGAGTGGTTAATGTGGTGATTAATTGAACTAAGAATTTTGCAACAAATTAAAAGTTCGAATGGCGGAAATGACGGAGCGTAGAGGCTGACCTATTTTAGGAAGGCCATATAAGAGACCATTTTTGGAGCCAGATGCAGTCAGGAGAATGTAAGTAATTTTGCCGATTTATTTATGTATTTATTTATTTTTATCGAGCGTAGGAGTCTGTTTGGTTTATCTTCTAATTTCAGTAGATGAGTGGCAGTATCAGACATGATTGGTTTAAATTTGGAGGAATCACTGAGTATCTATTTAGCTTACTAAAGTAGTCCTCTCTGTTTAGGATAACAACTCCACGTCCCTTATCTGGTTTTGTGATAACGATGATATAATCTTTTAAGAGCTTTTAGGGGTGTAAGGGAGTTGCGTGGAATACGAATGCTCTTGATATGGCGTTTGAATTTCTTGTAAGTATCGTGTGCCACAGTAGATTTCTTTCTTCAACGGTATTCTGAGAAGAGTTTTGAGGGCAATACTTTAGATTCACTAAACAATGTATCATATCCTTTAGTTTTTCGAGCCATTATTAAATTAGGGTCGTTCACAATAAAACTAAATATATATATACTTATGTGATATATATATATATATATATATAATATATATATATATATATATATATATATATATGAGCGTATTTGCCATCGCAATTCTATCAGGGATGATCAATTATCATGATATCAATAATTAGGATTTTATTGCAGTACTTTCCAGAATTTCTAGGTATTGCCTATCATAAGTTGCAGCTTCTCTGCTGAAATCATTGCATATTAGGCATTATCAACTTTCACAATTATCTCTCGTCAGTTATCAAGATACAAAAAAGACCTCTTGTATTCAGTAGGTTCCATCCTCCATACACACAGTAATGGTGCTGGCAACAGAACTCACACTTTGTTCTTTGTGTTGGCGATTTTCGGTGACCTTTAACCTCTCCCTCTCTCTGGAATAAAATACGGTTAAGAACACGATCAGTAAATTTAGATGTTGACTGTTGACTGACATCTTCACTGTATCATCATCCAATCTCCATGATCTTATTTCTCGTTT